GGTGCTTAATAGTAACATAAATATGATAAAAATGGCTTGTTACCTGACAATTTTTTTCTTTTAAAAACTAGTTGACAATCTTACCAAACTAACTAAACAGATTACCTTATTATGATACCTCCAGAAGTCTGTGCACAGGTCCACAATGGAGTATAACTGGGGGTATAAGGAAAGGGAATTAGGCCTAAAAAGAAAAATGACAGGCATCAAAAAACATTTCAATACATCTACTGGCAAAATGTTGCCCTCTGGTGGCGAAAGCTTTAGTTAAAATTAGCATGGGGTAATTACAAAACGTACATTTACAATAAGATATTCCACCAAGCATAATTTTAATTTAAAAAAAAATCTTATAATAAGTTTTTGTATGAACTTTTTTATAAAGTCTATACAATGGGAACCTAATGGAAAATACAGTCTGCCCATCACACTCCCATTACACTCCACTTCATGCATGCACTTTTTAAATACATGATGAATAAACATTCATTATTCTGCATTATTTCTGAACACTCAGGTGAAATACATCTCTTAACCCTCTGAAGTATGCATAAACACAAAATCTGGGAGTGGATGGTGCAATCATCTGCATACTGTATACAGCTTATTTCACTCTAGATAGCAATGACTGGTGGTGGGGATGATCATATTTATATTATTATTATTTATATTGATTGATTGATTGATTGATTGATTGAAATTCTTATTGAGAGAAAAGCTACAGGAAATGTCAGTAAACATGCTCACATCCCATGGATTACTGAGTACGGACAAAAACGTGTGAGACTGGGCAGTGTTTCTAACTGATCTGGTGATGACCAGCAAAAGAGTTCCACTGAGACTCTGCTGCCTCCAGTCCTGCTCATGCTTTACACTTAAGAATTTCAGTACACCTCTGGGCTGTGCCAATTACAGAATGTATTAGTGATGGGCCGGAGGAGGACTACTGAGCACCACTGGATATTTTTTGATGAGTGGTCTGGGAGGAGTTCTGCTTGTGAATAATAAGACTAGAGGTGGAGATAGGCTTCAGAAGGAAGAGGAATACCAAATGAACTGTGTCTATCCTGGGACAGGAAATACCTAGGTGTCTATATCCACAAGCTAAACTATTTTCCAAAAAAGCTGAGATCCTTAGAGCTGGTCACACCCACAGACTGAATAAACTATTGATAAAGGCTAGCTCTGTGACTGGCTGTAAATTGGAGACCAGTAAAGCTGTGGTGAAGAGAAGGTCACTGAATAAATTGTAAATAAATTATTGAAAAGGCATCTCTTCTGACAGACTGATTCAGCTCTGCTGCCACAAAAACAGAGAAAGTCTTTCATACCACATGCCATCACCCTCTTTAACATTATATATCTGTCATATCTGTCATATCATTATTATTAGTATTATTAGTATTGTTATTCGTATTACTATCATTATTATTATTATTATTAGTAGTAGTAGTAACAGAAGTATTTCAGCTGCTGTAGCAAAAGCATTTCTCATCTTAATCACATTCTCAGCCGAAAAGTACAATGACGTAATCAAAGTACGACCTAAAGCGCCAGAGACGTAATCTTTAGGAGACCATTTGTTTATATCATGGCGTCGGTGGATTTCAGAGGTAGCTAAATCCATTATATTCTTTTTTTTAGATGTGCAGTTTAATTAGTATAAAAATTTCATGTTATTTATAACTTCGAAACATCGCCTTGATTGTTTTTTTTCTGCAGCTTCAAGCTTATTCGTCTGTGCTGCAAGCAAATCTGTTAACGAGTAGCGTCTCCTTCGCTTTTCATTAGCATATTGGCTAGCATAGCTTATGCTGTCTGCCAGAGCCTTAGAATGACTTTTGGTGGTGGTTACAACAGAAAACAACTTCAAGTCATTGTAGCCTTCAGTTTTACAGTATAGTGGGTTATTCATCTTTGGTAAAGTGATGTCTGCATTATTGGTAATATGGACGCTGCTCACTGGTCCGTTTAGCTGTTCCGAGTTATATTTATTCATTATCTTTATTCATGTATCCTAACATCTGATAAATATACTGGCAATAGAGAAGCATATAAAAGATGAAGCTATATTATGTAGTTTGATTTTATTTGATATAAAATCAAGAAATACAAATAGCTGCTCTGTTTGAGCATTATTTCGGATCTGCTGAGGAACTCAGCTCTCACAAAACGCAGGTTTCACAGTGAGATAAGTCATCTGTTATTAGTGTCTTGTTATTACCTGAAATAAAACCTTTTATTATGAAAAGCCTAATCATGTTAATCAGGAAACCAGAATTGCCGTCATGTTTCCTTCATAAACATTTGACCCATTTTCGTTATCAGGTTGTGTTAATACAGACTCAGTTCCTCAATTATATTCATACCC